ATAGTTTGTTTCCCTCCGCATACCTATTCCTCCCTGGAAGACCTTGGTGCCAAGCACTGAATTGTGTCCACTGAGTGTGACTTAAGCTTTAGTGGAACTGTCCCAGCCTGCACCCGTAAGAGTCTGAATCAGTGTGTGGAGGGCCTGGCCTTACACTGTGTCACTCTTCACAAAGCCCCCTTCAGGCAGCTGTGACTTGGGCAGCAGTTCAGAGTGGGCTTTTGTGTGTGTTCTGTCCACCAGAGCAAACAAACTCCCTGAGCTCACCCTTGCTTCCTTTTTTTCCACAGGAAGGGGTTGGAGGATATCTTGAGACAGGGTCTCATGAAGCCAAGGATGGCCTTGAATGGCCTTGAACTCCTGACTCTCTCAGCTCCTCTTTCTACGTACTAGGATGGCAGGCATATGCCTCCTTCCCTGAGCCCACCCTTACAAAGCTATGTAACTGAGCTGTGTCTCACTTTGTGGGTAGTGGGGACAGGGGTGACATGTGACAGCTCAGTGGCATTCCTGTGAGCACCGAAGATATGTTTGAAATAGAGCCAGGAAAACCAGCTGAGCATCTTTCAGTTTACCCTGTCCTGGTCTTCCCATGGCACCAGTGATTCTAGAATGTTCCTTGAAGTTCTGTGGCCTCACCTTTAACTGGAGATTTGGTCCCCCGGTGCAGACCCTCCCTGCTCAGGGAGATTCCCCAGAGCCTGGTCAGGGTTTGCTGTGGTTCTGGTAGAACAGCAGGTGGCCACGGGGCTGGGCTGGGCCTGTGGAGGGCTGCCCATTTTCTCTGTAGCTGTGGTCTTAGAAAGGCCACCGTGTAGGCTCAGGGTGGGCTTGCTGGCTAAGATTCCTGAGGTCACTCAAGGATGCTGAAGTTTTCCCACAAGGAACTCGTTCTCATGAGCTAATGTTATCATGGATTTTTGTCTAGGAGCACAGAACTATCTGGCTGAGGCAGGCTTGTCCATTGAGAGAAAGAATGAGTTCCTATTCCCATCCCAGACCTTTTGTTAAACATTTATAGGCCACTTTCCCAGCCCCATACCCTACAAAACACCAGTTTATCAAAAACTCCCTTGTGAATAGAGGCTGCCACACGTGACCTGAGTGTTGGTGGTGGGCTGTTCCATGGGCGCGTGGTGACACAGTGAGTATTTCCTGTGAACGGGAGCCTTCCGGGTCCCACCATTGTTGTCCAACCCTTGCCTGGAAAAAAACAAAAATTATTTACTGGGGATAAGCCTTGTGTTTGTTTAGGGCTTTGCTGGGAATTGCCTGGCCGAGGTATCCCAGGGGCAGTGGGTGCTGGCAGCCAAGTGTAGGGATGACGGCACTGCTCACTCATCCTGGGCTGCATTGGCGATGTGATGGGAAGTATTTGACTTTTCCATGGAATGGAGAGGAATGCGTCACCTCGTTAGGACCAGCTCTGGGGGCTGCCCTGCCCCATGACTCTAGCCTGGCACAGGGAACTGAAGCAGGGTGCTTGGTTTCCTGGGACCAGAATCTGCAGTCTAGAATGAATTTTGGTTGGACAAGGGTGACACAAATGAATTGTGAGGCCATCGCTGGTGCTGTTTGTGTCCTGGGGGTTTATGCCCCACTCCTCCCCCCCAGCCCTCCCCAGCTGAGCCCAGACTGCCCAGATGTGCTGCCTACTGTACTGGGATTCTAGTTTCCTCCAGTATACAGAGCAGCATCTGGGATGTGAGCAGACCCATTAGCAAGTGGTCAGTAGTTTGTGGCTGTTAGTGCCATGCAGCAGTCTCATCTAGACACCACACCCCTTTCAGGGAGAGAACATAGGATGGCGTGCTGCTATGCCTGGCTATGTCCTTTCATGGGTGCCACAGAGCACAGTAGTACCAGCTGAGTGGCCAGCCCTGGGACATGTGGACTTGTTAGGGGAGGAAGGGCCCACCTCCAGGTGGAGGCTACACATAATTAGGGGTATGGCCTCTGGTGCCAGGCTGTGGAGCAGCCTGGGCACTGCCCACAGAGCAATGACTCTTGGCGGAATGGTGACACAAGCCTGCACAGTGAAACGGACATAAAAGAAAACGCTGCCAGATGTGGTGGTACTCGCGTAGAATCCCAGCACTCAGGAGCCTGAGACCGGAGGATCTTGTGTGCAAGGCCAGCCAGGGATATAGTGAGACCCAGACTATAAATAAATTAAATAAATAATAAATAAGATGCAATAAAGCAATTTCAGATAGGGTCATTGAGATGGTTCAGCAGGCAAAGCACTTAGCATGAAGGTTGTTCGCTGATCGCCACATGCACACCTATACACATACACACATGCATTAACTAAAATAAATAAAGTCTGGGCCTGATGGCACATGCCTTTAATCCCAGCAGTTGGGAGGCAGAGACAGGCAGATCTCTGTGAGATCAAGGCCAGCCTGGTCTGTATAGCAAATTCTAGGCAGCTGGGCCTATAGGAAGACCCTGTCTCAAAAAAATTAAATTAAAAAGTTAAAAAGGCAGTAGAGTCAGCTTCATCCATGGTAGTAACAGTCTCATACATAAATGGGACGTATGTGAGGTTCACAGCCTCATACATAAATGGGACGTGTGTGAGGTTCACTGGAGATCCCTGTAAATTAGTACTAGACCCAGATGTGTGGGAGGAAGGAAAGAGCCTCCATGGGGGAGGGTGTGTCAGTTTTCGTAGAGGTGGCTCTAAAGCACACCATCAGAGCAGCCCTTGGGGACAGCAGGGTCTGCCGGGCAAGAAGATAGCAGCCCAGACCTTCCTAGTGAACACAGGCTAAAGGTTGAAGTATACGATTCCAGGTCGTGGTTTGGAAATGTTAATGTTCCTCCCTTGGCAATGACAGGACAGTTGACCTCAGAGGATGGAAACCCAACTTATACTGTGAGGCAGGGCCATTAAACATCTCCAAGGCTAGAAGCAGAGATTGTCAGCTCTGCCCCTGGAGCTGATGAGCAAGGAGGCCCATGCCCTAGCAGATGGACTGGCTTCACGTAAGACTTTACCCATGGACCCCAGATCTTGAGTGCCATACACTTTTCCAGTGTACCGTGTATGTGGAAGGCCACATGGTCTCAGGCAGTTGGTCCAGGGCCTCTCCAGATGCTTCTTCCCTTGTACCAGCTTCTGCTAGCCACACCCACCTGGAGAAGCTAGGACTGTGTTTGTTGACCACCAGCTTCTGCTAGCCACACCCACCCGGAGAAGCTAGGACTGTGTTCCTTGACCTAAGTTAGCAGCCTCAGCCGTGGGCAAGTGTCAGTGCTCAGTCTCGCCCAGCAGCCTGCTCTTGTCCACGAGAGATAGGCTGGCCACGGGTAATTGGATCGAAGGCTGTTAACCAGACTGTACAGCAAGGGCAGGATGGGGTCAGTTTCAGAAGAGGGTCTGACTGAGTTGGGGAGGGCCTGACTAAGCCAGGGACAGAAGGGTGGACTGGCCTACACAGAGCCCATGTCTCAGGACTTGGTTCAGTCAACAGATCTGTGTCCTGTGTTGGCTCTTGGCTGAGGGAGATGGAGGGGGTTTTGGTATCACCATCCTCCAGGTACTACAACCTGACATGGCCTCAAGGGCTGTGCGGTATGGAACCCTGTGCTCAGGGCAGGTGGGCACCATGGGCAACAGAAGGCGTTGGGCCCTCCTAGGAGTTGCCACAGTGCCAGCAGGAGGAGGCAAGCTTTTGAAGACCCCAGAGCCCCACCCTGAGGGCCAGGGCCGGGAAGAGGGCCCATGCACGGTCGATGACCCAGGCTCCTTGTTTACTGTGAGGTTGTGGTGCGGCCTGTGGAGTTCGTGGTGTTTTCCCTCCTCTGAAACTTTGGATGCCTTGCTCAGTCTGAGTCATTTTGATTAGGGGCCATGCTGAGACATAGGAGACCTGACGTGGGCACCACTGAAGGCAGGCTGGGCCCGTTCAACCGGGGACAGCCACAACAACCCCTTGCGTGTCCCGCCTGGGGAGACTGAGGAGCCTCCACCTGGCCTGTGTGGCGGAATTCACTGGGCAGACTTCAGTTTCCTGAGGCCCAGTCCATTCTGCTGACTCGGGATGGGAACAGACCTAGCCTTCCTGCAGCCAGGCGCGGGTGCAGAGGTCAGAGCACACACCTTAGACCCTGGCAGAGTGCCATGGTGTTGTGACAGCATGTTGGCAAGGTGCTTCCTCCTGTGAACACGCTGCCCTCCCACGCATGTTTGTTTTTCTTGCCAGCTCAACAGGCGGTCCTGTGTCTTCAGTGCCCTTAGCAGTGCAAAATGCTTGTTTGATGAGGTGGTGGCCTGCCAGGGCCTTTAGTTCTTAAGTAAGCCTCGGGCTGGTGTAAAATGGAGAGAATTGTTCCCATCTTGTAGCCACACTCGAGGCCACCATCCACATCCAGAGGAGACAGTGTCACAGGGAGGGTGATGTGAGGGAGCAGAGACGCCGAAGCCAGGCTGCCCTGTTCAGTCCTGGGGCCTCCCTCTTGCTGTGTCATCCGGGCAGGCTGCCCAGCGTCTCAGGGTTGCACATTCCCTACTTGTACAGTGGACAGCTGCCTGTGCGGTTAGGAAGGCTAAGTGTGAGAGGGGTGTTGCGTGTTGTCTGTGGCCCTTCGGCTCCAGCCAGACACTTGGACTTGTACTGCCCTGGTGTTCAGGTGCCCGCTGCCAAGGTCATTGAGTGCCTTGGGGACTGGGTGGACTCTTGGCAAGACCTTCCATAGTAGATTTTCCCCAGCAAAGTCCAGATTTCGGGGGCTCTTCCTGTCTCTAGTGCTGTGCCACTTACATGGCCCAGTGTGGAGGGACTGTGGCATGTGCCTGGTGCCCTGCAGGCCTTCAGCAGCCTAGCCCTGCTCAGCACCAGCAGCGTGGCGTCCTGCAGGTGGTGCCTAGTACCTGCCCTCCGGTCTGGGCCCCTCAGGGCCAGGAGACCCTCGGAGAAGCAGCACCCTGAGAGCACAGGCAGGTGTCCGTGTAGGGGTGTGCCTGCCCGGGTGACGAGCGCGTGTCCCTGCAGGCCTCCCGGAGCAGTACTACAGCCTCACCTGGTTCCTGAGCCCCGTCCTCGGCCTCATCTTCACGCCGCTCATCGGCTCTGCGAGTGACCGCTGCACCCTGAGCTGGGGCCGCCGGCGGCCCTTCATCCTGGCACTGTGTGTGGGCGTCCTGGTCGGTGCCGCACTTTTCCTCAACGGCTCTGCCATAGGTGAGTGGCTACCGCGCCTGCATGGGCCTCACCTGGTGACTTTGATGGGGACTGGCTCAGGCTGCCCAGGCCCGCCTGGTGGAGACCGCAGCCCTGGCGGAGGCCACAGCGGGGTGCTTGGCAGCCGGGCTGGCCGCACATGGGAAAGCCTAAGGGACCTGTTCACAGGGAAACGCTTCCTGTTGTGATGGTTTGTTTTTATTCATATCTGACACCACGTCCTGTTTCCAGTGTGATTTCAGAAATTATCTTTTCTTTTTTGTTCTCCCTTTCTCAGACCTGGTGTTGAAAATGTCCAGAGCCTGCTCTGCTGTTTGTTTCTCTGTTCACGTGCTGTTTCGCCTCCTCCTGTTGTTTTGGCTTTAATTACAGCTGCTCTGTGTGGGAAAGTATTTTCTGCCTTGAGGGCACCATTCAGAACTGGTGGAAACAAAGCCTTGTTTTTTGGAAGGATTGTAGTGTGGGTTCTGAGGGGCGGCAGCCGCCCGGGTCTGCCCAGGTTTCAGCAGCAGCAGGCCTGTAGGCAGAGAGGTCCCAGAAGACCACCTCGGGGTAGAGAGTCATGGCTCCTGGGGGCGGGCTGTGGCATCTTTGACCTACTGCTCTCCCAACCTGAGTGTCTCCTCCCTGATTCATACCCTGTGTGCAAGGCAGCTGCCTCCTCTAGCCAGGGAAGCCTGTCATCCAGCAGTCTTGAGGATTCCCCCTTCCAGAGCACTTGCTCCTTCCTTCCCTAGGCCTGTCATTGTCACCTGGGAGTAACCCTTCCCTTCCCCAAATGCCATAGGTTGCATAGAGAGCATCCTTAGGGTGGCCCTGGCCACTGGTGATCCAGGTACAGGCAGCCGGGAGACACCAGCCCTTTGGCTTGGACTCTGTCTCTTGCCTGTGTCTGAGGCTATCGATCCTCCCGGGCCACAAGTTTCTCTGTGTTCCTGTGGGTCAGCGCGTCCGTACACAGCCTGAGAACAGTGCTTTAGGGCCAAGCCTGGGCTAACCCTGCTTCCAGTTCTAAAAGGCGGCCCAGCTTGGGGTTGGGGTTGGGCTCTGGGTCCTAGGCAGACTCTCCATTCAGGTAAGGCTTTGCATATGAGGGCAGCCTCCTCAGGGGCTCATACTATCTGCCAAGGCTGCATGGCCTTTCCACTCAGGCTGGGGGTCCTGTAAAGCCACCCACAGCCTGTTATCTAGCGGGGGTGCTGAAGGGAATCCAGCCAGCACAGGGAGCAACTGAGGGTGGCTTCCTCATAGACCTGTGGCAGTGGCCCTTGCACTGCCACTGTACCTGATGCCAGCGCATTACTAGCCAGTGGCCACCTTTACTGATGGCAGGGGAGGAAGCGCTTGCTCCCCTTCTTGCTTAGAAGGCAGGGGAGAGGGACCCTTAGAAGCTGTACAGAAAGGGTACACCTACCAAGCACAGAAGTGGAGAGAAGCCCACCACTGCCCCGGAGCATTTGTGTTAGGAGCCTGCCGTTGGTAGCCCTAGGCCAACTGCTTCCCATGCCCTGTTCAGGTCTGGCCCTCGGTGATGTCCCTAACCGGCAGTCCATTGGCATCATCCTCACGGTGCTGGGTGTGGTGATCCTGGATTTCAGTGCCGATGCAACCGAGGGGCCCATCCGTGCCTACCTGCTAGACGTGGTGGACAGCGATGAACAAGACATGGCCCTCAACATCCATGCTTTCTCTGCAGGTAAAACCCTGCGCCAGCCCCACGTGGGAGGGGAGGGGTCTGTGCTCCTCAGTCGCAGGTGTTGGTGTGCCAAGGCCATGCCAGTGCCAGGACTCACTCCTCCTGACCCCTGAGCCCGGTAGAAGGAAGGGATTAAGGAGCTGGGCTAAAGAGAGTCAGGCCTGCCTGGGTAACATGACTGCAGAGGCCCCATGCTGGCCACTGCCTCAGCCAGGCAGTGCTCGGCCAGGCAGTGCTCATAGCCCAGTCTTCTACCAAGCAGTCCAGAGAGGCGCACACAGGTGGGCTGGGCTGGCCTCTAGGCCTGGGGTCGCCTTTGTCGTTTCCCGACTGAAATGATGGGACTAACTGGAGGCCAGTCTCCAGGGCTGAGGTCCCCTGGGGTTCCTTTCATTCTCCACCCCAGTGACATTCTCCACCCCAGCGACCTGCTATGTAACCCAGTCCTCTCCCCCCAGCCCCCCGCAGGGGTGAAGCCCTGTGGCAGGCCTGGGGCTCACCACTGCTTCTCTGCCCACAGGCCTTGGCGGGGCCATTGGCTACGTGCTGGGTGGGCTGGACTGGACGCATACCTTCCTGGGTGACTGGTTCCAGACACAGAACCAGGTGCTGTTCTTCTTCGCTGCCATCATCTTCTCGGTGTCTGTGGTCCTGCACCTCTTCAGCATCGAGGAGGAGCAGTACAACCCGCAGCAGGACCGCAGCCCCGAGGAGTGTGCCCTGTCCAGCACCGGTGCCCAACTTGGTGCCCCAGCCCCCGCCCCCCGTCCCAGCTCCCTTGGTGGAGGTGTGCAAGACGGCAGCCCCCCGTTCCCAGACGAGGTGCAGTCGGAGCATGAGCTGGCCCTGGACTACCTCGATGTGGACATCGTGCGCAGCAAGAGCGACTCGGTGCTGCACATGCCTGATGCCACTCTGGACATGGAGCCCGAGCTGCTCTTCCTGCACGACATCGAACCCTCCATCTTCCACGACGCCTCCTACCCCAGCACTCCCCGGAGCACGAGCCAGGAGTTCCTGAGGACCAAGCTGCCCCGCCTGTCCACTTTCCTCAGGGAGTCTGCCAAGGAGGACGACACCTTGCTTGATAATCACTTGAATGAAGCTAAAGTCCCAAACGGGAGTGGCTCCCCGCCGAGGGACTCCCTCAGCACCCGCTCCAAGGTGGACCTGAAGTCCTCAGCCACATCGGGGTCCATGAGACGGCGCAGGCACACGTTCTACCGGCAGTCCTCTAGCACCTTCTCCTACTATGGCAAGGTTGGGTCCCACTGCTACCGCTACCGCCGGGCCAACGCAGTGGTCCTGATCAAGCCGTCGCGCAGCATGAGCGACCTGTATGACCTGCAGCAGCGCCAGCGCCAGCGCTCCCGGCACCGGAACCAGAGTGGGGCCACTACCTCCAGCGGGGACACAGAGAGTGAGGAGGGTGAGACAGAGACCACCGTGCACCTGCTGTGGCTGTCCATGCTGAAGATGCCCAAGGAGCTGGTGCGGCTCTGCCTCTGCCACCTGCTCACTTGGTTCTCAGTCATCGCTGAGGCCGTCTTCTATACCGACTTCATGGGCCAGGTTATCTTCAAAGGGAATCCCAAGGTGAGCTCCCTAAGGCTGGTGAGCCTTGGTGTCGGGGCCTCTCGGAAGCCTGCGCACACTGTCCCTGCACCCTCGTGTGCCATAGTCAGCTGGCCAGTATACACCTCAGTTACAGGGCTGAGCCATTGCACAAGCCAGGAGGAGGTGACTATTGGTGAATGCCAAGTGTCTTCATGGGGCCAGATGTACTCTGAGAAGGGGCGAGTGGTGGTCAGCTGTCGCAGCAGCAGCCCGTCGTTTGTGCCAGTCTCTGCCGGTGGTTCTGGCCTCACCCCATAGCCCCATAGGCCTGTTCATCTTTCCTGGGTCTGATATGGCGACTCAGAGGGCGGAGTCACTTCTGTAGGTCCAGGCCAGCTGTGGGCAGATTTTCACTTCTCATGGAGGGCGGCAGTCACATGTGGGCTGGAAACAGCTTACCAGATACTGACCTGGACTTGGGTGATTCTCCTCACTAGAGTGTCACCCCTCTAACTGCCTACACGGGAATGCAGAGTAACCGCCTCTGCCCCGAGGGCAGCAAATGCCCTCAACCTCCTCTCTCTGCCACAGGCCCCTTCCAACTCCACTGCCTGGCACGCCTACAACGCTGGTGTGAAGATGGGCTGCTGGGGCCTGGTCATTTACGCTGCTACTGGTGCTATCTGCTCAGGTGCGTATGCGCTCACACCCGTGAATGCTCAGCCATCAGAAGTAGGACAAGGTACAGGGGGACCCTGACTTCTCCGTAAGCAGAGGAGCTGTGAGGGCAGTTGCCATGACCTGGGATCAGCTGTTTCTGAGGCTTGGAGGCTGTCCCGCGCACTGTCCCACAACCCTATCCAGTTGTTCAGCATGCTGTCCTGACCCTGCCAGCCCCCACCCCCGACGCCTGTGGCCCAGCTGTGTAAGGAGCAGAGAAATCCTGTCCTGCAGACATAGCTTCTCCTGAAGGGCCCAGAGTACCAAGGGCTGGAGTGCTGTCCCAGCTTGTCCTAAAGGGTAGGGTGATAGGCTCTCACCCTAAGGCAGAGCACCCCATTCCAGCATGCTCCTAGAACTTGACAGGGTTGATTTTGGGGTCCCCTCTTCCCCTGCCCACACTCAGTCTGAACCTGGAGTACGTCATCTGTGGCTGAACTTGAAGGAGTGAGTGACCGTGTGACAGTGAGCACACTATTTCTGTCACTCCACTGGAGTCCTGGAGAGGCCTCTTAGAGAAGATGCCCAGGGCTCTGGGAAACCCAGAATGACTAGCTGGAGAAGCTCCCAAAGGGACCCTGTGGGTGGCCAGCAGGCCAGGGAGGCCCCAGGGAGCTGGCTTCTTCCTGAGGTGCCGGAGCTCTTGGGAGTCTGGGTGGACATGTGCTACAGTGTGCCTGCCTGGGCCTCGTGGTTCAGGTGGGCAGGAGAGGGTATTTGTACCCATACCTGAAGGCCTAGTTTCAGCCAAAGGGAGGCATGGTTGGAAGTGAGGGGTGGGATGGGCAAGGGACTGCGTCCGGAGCCAGCGGTGAGGTCACACTCCCTGGGGCCCCTCTCTACAGCCCTGCTACAGAAGTACCTGGACAACTACGACCTGAGCATCAGAGTCATCTATGTGCTGGGGACGCTGGGCTTCTCCGTGGGCACCGCTGTAATGGCCATGTTTCACAACGTCTATGTGGCCATGGTGACCATCAGCACCATGGGCATTGTGTCCATGAGCATCTCCTACTGCCCCTACGCCCTGCTGGGGCACTACCACGACATCAAGGAGGTACGGCCAGCCTGAGGGTGCTTGGTCAGGGGACCCCTTACTTTGGCCTCAGATCCATTTGGTCATCAGGCCCGTTTGGCCCACAGCCTGCACTTGGTGGTGCTCTGCTGTCGCGCCCCCCCCCAATCCCTTCTGACAAAGTAAGTTGCCACTTGTCTTAGTCCTGGCCACTAAAGACCCCTGGTCATCCTGGCCCCTGAGCCTTTGGCAATGCTTCTAGAAGCAGACTCATGCCCTGTCATAGCCAGGATCAGGGGGCCACCCTGCCCAGAGTCTTCTCAGCCATCACACCCCCCAGTGGAGGGCAGCTTCCTCACAGTGCATTGTTTCCTGCGTGGTTGGCACACTAGCAGCCCCCTGGTGCCTTTCCACACTGGAAAGACTTGGTTAACCCACTACATCTGAAGCATCACTGTTTAAAAGAGATTAAACCAGGAACTGGAGAGATGGCTCAGCAGCTAAGAGCACCAGCTGTTCTTGCAGGGGACTCGTATTGGATTCCCAGCACCCACATCATTATCAGCTACGTAGCAAGTTCAAGGCTAGCCTGGGATACATAAGACCCTGTCTCAAGAAAACAAACAAAAATTTTTGAGATACCAGCTAAGTCTTTGGAACATTACTTGTCATCCGGGCCATGGTGCGGCTCAGATGAGCATCACCCTAGTGCTCAGCAGCCAGGAGCACAGATCCTTTGAAGGGGAAGGAGAAAAACTCCAGTCTCCTCCTTAACCTGAACTATTTTGCCTCAACTTTTTTTTCATTTTATTAAAGCAAAATAAATTTGCTCATTAGGTGCACACCACATCCAATAGTAGCAAAGCCCCGACAGCACTGTCTCGTAGATGACGTCGTCAGCAGGGTGCCAGACTGCCGAGTCACAAGTGAGCTTCTTGCTGGTCTTTTGTAAGGGAATCGTAGTTGTAGAGCTATCCAGACCAAGAAAGACTGTGGCCCGAACCAAAACGCTCCCCCTCCGCTTGTGCTGCATCTGACCTTCCTGCTACTTAGACTGCCAGACATCTTCTGTTCCACCTCATGGCTCCTGTGGCATGGCAGGGCCCTGTGCCCCGTCAGCGTCACAGCTGGCTGTGTATGGCTAGCAAGTGTTGGGATTGTAGACATTAGCCACCAAGAAGAGCTGCCAGTGTTAATGTGTTACTTTGATTTATAATCACTTCAAAGATATTTTTCTAGGTTCAGAGGGGAGATGGTTCAGTGGAGAAAGGTAAAGTGCCTGAGATTCAAGCATGAGACCCCAGCACCCACATGAAAATCTGGGCATGGTGGGATGTGCTGTGACCCCGGTGCTGAGTGCAGATCCCTGGGGCTTACTCACTGACAGAAAGAGCCAGTCTCAGGGAAGAGCGCTGGAGGGGCACGTCGACCCCTGGCCTCCACAGCCCATGCACCTCTCCCTAACCTAACCTACAAAGATTTTGTGCTTTTTGTCCTGATTCTGTTTTGAAGCCATGGAGTGAAGTATGCTGTGGGTCTCTGACATTTGAGAGGTTTTTCTAATCATCATGGTGTCACTGATTTCCAATTCCTCACAATCAGAGAATGCATACTCAGGATGTGAGTCCCCTAAATTGACTGAGAGTCCCTTTTGTAGCCCCGTGTGGCCCATATACAGTGAGGAGCTGGTCTACACTTTAGGCCTCTGTCCACTAGGTGAGGTGAGGATTGCTGGCTGCCCAGCTCCTGCTTTCTGCTTTTGAGTCTGCTGGTCTTCTAGGAGGTCTATAAGTCCTCCTCCGCCTGTGGTGCGAGCAAGTACACTTAGACTCGTGTGCTTTCCATCTTCTGGGCCTTCTCCGAACCTCAAGGGGGCAGCAGAGCTGAGCAGCGCAATGGTGTCCTTTTATTTCACATTTAAAAGCACAAGCTACGCTGCCCGGTGCCTCTGGCTCTGCACCTGAGGCCATGTGCATGTGAACGAACTAAGCTTCCTGCTCTGCAGCTTCCCTCCTGGAGACAGCCAGGGTGAGGTTGTCACCCTGAGCCTTGCCGTGTTCCTGGGGCTGGAGACGGGGCCCACGTGGGGAATCTGAAGTCATGAGCAGTTGCAAAGATGCTTCTGTGTTCCTTCCTGGGACTAGAACTTTCCCTTCCTACCTGCTTAGTGCCAAACAGGACCTGAGGCTCTAGAGACTCCAGTTGGGAACCGGCCTTGAAGCCTAGGAGTCAGTGTCCACCAACCGCCCTGAGGTAGAGACGTTGTCCCCTTCTGAGCCCCTCACACCTGTGTCTGTTCTCTTCCAGTATGTCCACCACAGTCCAGGGAACTCCAAGCGTGGGTTTGGCATTGACTGCGCCATCCTGTCCTGCCAGGTCTACATCTCCCAGATCCTGGTGGCATCTGCCCTTGGGGGTGTGGTCGATGTGGGGACTGTCAGTGTCATCCCCATGGTGGCCTCCGTGGGCTCCTTCCTGGGCTTCCTGACAGCCACATTCCTGGTGATCTACCCTGACGAGTCCGAGGAGGCCAAGGAGGAGCAGAAAAGCCTGTCTGCGCGGCCTGCCGCTGAAGGCAGCACAGCCGGCGAGAAGCCCACCATGCTGAAACTGTCTCGGAAGGAGGGCCTTCGAGCAGTGGAGACGGAGTCCATGGTCTGAGCCCCAGCCGACACATTCCACTCGGGAGGGTGGGGTGGAACAGGGTGGCTGTTCTTGCTGACGCTGCGTGAGCCAGAGTTCTTTCGCAGAGCGCAGTCTGCATCCAGTAGGTGTCAGGTATAGGGTAGATTTGAGCTACTAGGCAAAAGTATCACACTAATTACCTTTCCCACAATTAAAAAAAATCATTTGAAATCTTTTTTTAATTGAAAAAAATTGTAATTTCAGCTGTCCTTTATTCTGCAGGTTTATTCTGCATGTGTTAAACTGTGAAACATTTACAGTCAATAAGCAACTTAGGAAAAGTAATATTCTGCATTTCTAAAATTGTAATTGAAAGTGCAGAAACTGATGCTTTTGGCATATCTCTCTGAAGGCGTCAGTAGCAGTGCAGTGACCAAACTCCCCGCCAGGTGTCCCTGAGGCCCACAGATGCGGGGTGGCCTGCCGCCCGCGGAGCCTCTCGCTGACACTGCAGTGCCTGGAGGGTGTTTTCCTCTATTATTTTAGAAAAGTGTTTTCTTTTTCACAGCTGGTTTTCATAGAACAGCAACTCTTCTTTTCTCCAAGAGTTTGACAAAATGTGCCCGCAGCCCTGTGCACAGACGTCAGTGCCCGAGGCCACACGACCAAAGCTGGTGGGGGGAGGGAGGTCCCAGAGATGAACATTCCTAGGGCAGCCTCCAGACAGCCTGCCCAGGGACAGGGCACCAGCCAGGGGCTGAGTGTGAACTCTGCATGCTTCCTGCTCATGAGTGTGTCTAGGCCCCACCCAGACCTCCCCAGAAGGGACCGGAGGGTAGCCGCTGGCTCCACCTGACTGCAGTTGTCTCCATAGTGGGCGGGGAACCCGGGCGCAGGCTACCTCAAGTGCATGGGGAACCGTGGCCTCAGAGCAGGGCAAATGAGGGTGCCAAGGCCTACCTCCCTGTCACATTGGTGATGTCCTCGCTGGAACCCAACTACAATTGCATGACCTCCTCACTTGCCCCTGCCTCCGGTCACTGGAATGGAAATAAGGCAGAGAAACGAGTCTGGGCAGGGGGGCTGGTGACCCCGGAGCCTGGCAGTTTCTGGTTTCAGCAGATGCAGAACTCGGTCGCCAGGGGGGCACGCTCAGCAAATGCTGTACCTGTATGGAAATGCTTTTCAGCCAATCTCTGTTACAGACTATACAGCCTCCGCTCCCCGTGTGAAACGGGTAGTCTGTGCTCAGGAGCAAGGCCCTCTCTAGGCTGCCCAGATGAAGTCAGGCCTGTCATACCCCAGCTGCCTCAAGTCGGTGTTTTTTAAATACAGTACTTCAAAGTGCATGAGAATCATGCTGCAATATGATCATTCTAAAGCAAATATATAGGCATATATATTTCAAGATGGAAGTAAGCGGTTTTTAAATTACTTGAATTTTCTGTGTATTCAAAGGAATGCTATGTTCAGCATCCTCAGCAGGCCTCTGTCTTGCCACGTCTTCTGGGCTGTTGGCGCTTTGTAGTTTGTTTTGTGTCTGAGGAGCAGAAGCATGTGCTCAGGGTGCGAGGGAAGGCGTGGGTCCTCCAAGTCCAGGCTGCAGAAGACTGACTCCACTTCCTGGCATTTGCTGCATTGACAGTTGACAACAGCCTTGCAAATCTGTTCAGACAGAAGTCCGACTACTGAGAGCACAGTCCACATGCTGAGCCCTTCTGCCAGCCGAGCCCCATCAGCTGGACACTCTGTCCCTTGTCTCAGGGAAGCAGGCACCTCTGGGCTCCTGTCCTCGGCCAGGGTCCTTGGCAGTCACTCCTATGCCACTTTGCTTTCTTTGGTGGCTTTGCGATGGCAGCCCCTCCCTCCTGAGACTTGTACCACTCATTAAGGACGACAGCCTCTGTCTTCAGCACCTGCTTCTCCACCTCACCACTGGATGACAGAGACAGGAGCACAGGGGACACCGAGGGGGCAGGACCTTGCCCCATCCAAGATCTGGAGCAGTCACACCAAGTGACGGGTCCTGTGTGGAGACCCACATGCTACCTGAGAAAACCACCGAAGGCTCGGGGCCTAGACCTTTCAAGCCAGGAGGTTCAGGGTCTGTCTAGCTGAGGCCAGACCAAGAGGAAGAGGGTCTTGGGACCATCACATGCAGTGTGTTAGCCTCCACTCACCATGATTGGAAACAGCACAGAAGACACATGTTCATGGCACAGGCCTTGTCAGAGCCCCTGGGAGAATTGTTGCCCTAGAAGAGAAGCCAGCCAGAGGCATGGCGGTACTTGGTGGTGTCAGAACTGGCTGCACATCCAGTAGTTTTTAAGGCCTCAGCTGTCAGATACTTGCATCCAAAGCCTGCCTGCCTGTGGGTCTGGTCAGCATGTAGACCCTTAGCTGAGATCCAAAGGTAGTAGCAGAGTTGGTCTCTGGACTGTTACTGGAGATAAATGTGGTGACCCCTAGGCCCCAAGGCGGGTGTGGTCACATCTGGGGTAGACAGAGTAGCCTTTCCCTTGATGGGAGGTTATTGTAAGATGACACCAAACAAAACTGCTGGGGCGACCACTCACATCTGAGAAGCCAGGGAGGAGGACTGGCTCTGCACAGCACCCCAGCACTGCAGCTTATGTTGCTGACTGGCCAGGCTGTTAGGTTTTCTGGCCTGCTCCCTCTGATCAGCAGTGATGGGTGGAGGGATCCCCAAGAGAGGGAGCCTGAGCAGCTCTTCTGTGGCCTGTGAACTTGAGGGGCCCACTGTGGTGGTCCAGACCCGGGGGACTGGCAGGGTCATGCAGCTGCCCACTTGTGTCCAGTGAGAAAGCTGTGACATGGTGTTAGCTTGGTAGCACTCTGGGGCCTGGGCTGTCTGTGAGCACCATGTAGGGTGCTAGTAGGGGTTCCTCTGGTCCAAGAGCATAGAGTGTATGCGTACATACGCTAGCAGAAGAGAGCAGCGATGGCCAGAGCTCTGCTTTTGCCGCCTATAAGTCATCTGGGTTAGTTGTGTAAAGGGCATGGCCGAAGTTTGCACAGAAGTGTGAGCTGGTAGGAAGGGCTCACACCCCAGCTGGTGGCAGACCAGCATGGCAGTGCTCCCTGGTGTCTAGAAACCTGGCTGTGGGGTATCCCCTTTTTCTCAGCCTAAGGTCTCAAGTGTAACATCCAAGCCCACTGACAGGTCCACAGCCCTCAGACTCCCACCTTTGAAAGCCTCAGGGGCTTCATGAGGACTGCTAGTCATGTCACTCAGGGGAGGGGGAAGGCAGACCCTTGGCAGCCTCCTGGTTGATAGCCTCTTGTATCCTCAAGGAGTATGTAGAAGGTACTGTGGGGACACACTCAGCAACACCAAGGTCATAGCAACCAGGATACCTGCTCTCCAGCCTCCCTGGTGGCACTGGCCTCTGTACCACATGGAGGAAGTAGCATGTGGTCAGTGGTCTGCAGCAGCCACAGCCATGACCGCACATGCCACAGACCAGTTTTGTAAAACACCATCTATTGCTGTTGACACTCCCCACCTGGGATATATCTAAACGCCACTGTTCCCAGTTGTCGCCAAAAAGGGGCTCACCTATCCACCACAGCCAGCAAGCTTCTGAGACCTGACATTGTCCTGCTTCCGAGTGCCTGGGGACTCTCCCCAGTATACCCTGGCCATGCTGTCAGTTCAGTTCCAGGCTGAGCTGCCTCTTGAACATGTAGCTCTTGTCATCTGGGAAGCCGCTGTCAACCATCGTGGCTGGAACCCTAGCTTTGAGATGGGCCCTCGGCCAGCAACCCTTGGGCCTCCCGGAGAGCTAAACATCCCAGGCAGTCTGGCTGCCTCCTGGGCTGTGCAGGGTCCTGTGCTGGACTTGTGGTGGAACACAGTTATTAGAAAGGCCTCAGCACGGGGGAGCTCCCCAGGCACTCGGAACAAAACTATTTAGTTCCTTTGTGAACTGGACACAGGACAACTTTATCAACTTATTAAGTTGGAGCACTGTAATAGATAGCTCTTGCTGATTTTAGCAACGGTTAAGTGTGTGTTAAACACACGGTGTTACATTTTATGAGGAAAACAGATTATAAAGAAGAGTACTGTCACACATGACTTCATTTTTTATTAGGTGGGTGTTTATGTCTGTTTACCCAGAGCCCTTGGGCTTTGTCTGTTCTGTCACATGCCAGGCCATGGTGTCACTGCACCCTGTGCAGGCTTCGGTGTCTGTGACCTGACTCCTTCCCGTCAAGTCGGTGCCTCCCCTGCCTCTACTGCTCTGTTATGCTGTGGTTGACTCAATAAACATTATCCTTACAGATGACAGTGTGAGTGTGTCCTTTTCTGTGGCCGCCCTCCCAGAGTCTGGTGGGTCCAGGAGACAGGACATTCCTCCTGGCTGTGGCCAGTGCCGGCACACACAGCTCCGTTCCCTGGAGCTTCCCCCTTGCAGCTTAGGTCTCCAACAGCCTCAGCTCCCCAGAGCCACTCCTGCCTAGGGGTGCAGAGCTTGGGCCACACTGGGTGTAGTGGTCCCTTCTGAAGACCTGCTCCTGGTGGCGGGATGGGAACCTTCCTGCTGCCGGGAAACTGACGGCTCCCCTGGTAAGCAGTGAGGAGTGAGGCCTGGTGGGAGCCAGCCAGAACACACAGCACCAGACAGTGGGTGGCCCTTGGCCACTTGGTATATACAGAGCCTTGGGTAGCTGGAGGTGGGTTCCCTAGGCTCTCCTGGAACAGCATGGGTTGTCTGATTGTCCTGGTGACCTGCTGAGAGGTCACAGATTGTTAAAGCCAGCTGGCAGGGGTCTCAACCTGACCTGGATGAATTTCATCCTCTGACCCCAAAGACAATACCTGCAAGCCCAGCATAGTTTGAATTGGGGGAAGGTTGCTGACCATGTACAGGGAAGAAGGGTCTATGGCAAAGGGCTGGGGTCACACCCACACTGCAGTTCCTGCTAATCACTTTTGCTATTAGCTGCAAGTTCCTACTTTGGAGCCTAAGGGAGCCTTGCAGCAGGTACCCACTGCTCCTATCAGGATGGACACTTGGGAAGTGCTGGTGGGGCCCCAGAGCCCAAGGTCGCGCCTGCCCCAGAGCCCACTGGACAAAACCAGGGGCACTGCTCCTTACTCTCCTCCAGCTCTGCCTGCCTGAGATCTCAGGACGTCCCAAGGGTGGCAACTGGGAAAGATTTTCTACATAGGAGTGCCTGGCCACTGCACCTAGGAGTCAAAGTCAGCACCTCCAGGCCCTTTCCATGGGGTGGCCTCTGGCACACAGTCAAGGATACCTGACTCACACATGTGCATGCCCCCCGCCCCCAGCACATCAGCCAGGAAGTAGAAATCCTGGGCTGCAACCTCTCCTAGCTCACTTGCAGACAAGCTCCAAGCTGGTGATTGAACATAGGGTTTCATGTATGCTAGGCAAGCTGTACTCCCAAGCCACACCCTCAGCCATCAATTGACAGTTCACCATGGTTTAGTTTGCATTTTGCTGAAAACAAATAATTTTGTGTATAGTTTGCATATACAGTGCCCACGGAGGCCAGGTGTCATTCCCCTGGAACTGTTGTTGGCCTCGATGTGGGTGTTGGGAAATGAATCTAGGTCTTCCACAAGAGCAGCAAGAGCTTTTAACCACTGAGCCTTCTCTCCAGCCCTATTAAGCATCTTTTTAAAGTGGTCGTCTGGGGCTAGAGAGATGGCTTGGGTTAGGAGAAACTGTCCTTCCAGAGTTCCCAGCACCCACATGGCAGCTAACAACCGTCCCTAATTCCAGTTCCAGGGGAACCAGTCTCCACTGGTATTGCACAACATAGTGTACTTGCATACATGCAAACAAAATACTCGTACACATAAAATAAAAATAATAAAGTAAAATGGCCGTCTGCTTGGCTTCAGTGGTGAGATACCTTTTAGTTTCCAGCTGACTGAAAAGTTTCCATCTTTTTACGGCATAGACATTGCTCATGTAACTGGATAAAATGACTTGGTCAGATATAGTATCTCCCCCACCTATGGTTTCTCTTTTTCTATTTTGTTTGTTCATATTTTGTGGATTTGGAGGCAGGAGTCTTATTCTGTATCCTAGGTTGGCCTCAGACTCACTGTGATTCTCCTGCCTCAGCTCCCAAAGTGCTAGGATTACAGGTGTGAGTTACCATGCCCACTGTTATCATTTTAATAATGTTCTTTGAGGCCAGGTGTAGTGGTGCATGCCTTTGATCCCAGCACTCGGAAGACAGGGGCAGGCAGATCTCTGTGAGATCTAGGCTAGCCTGGCCTATATACCGAGTCCCAACAATAATATGTATGATGATGACATCTAATGCATCCGTTTCTTTTCTTTTGCGTTTAGCACTTACTGTGTATTCTCAAGAGCAGCCTTGCAGTCAGGTTGCAAAGGCCCTCTCCTGCCATGTTCCCAGAACTTCCGGCTCTACGTTTAGATCAGTGAAGCACCCTGGCTTCTCCTTTGCATAGAGCACTGGGTGCGGATCCCTCACACTCTTCCCTCTGTTCTCGGGTTGGTCCACTCTGATCCAGTGGCTTTTCTTGCCTGGTTGTCTTGGATTTCCTGTTTCTGTGCAGTCACCCAGAACCTGCATCTTGTCCCTCTGACCTGCTGACCTGTCATCACACTGATGATATCATCACAACAGTTGTTAACACTTTCTCAATCTCACTCTAGAGATGCTTTTTTCAAAGTCCTGACCTGTGGGGCTTCCAAGTCTGGTCTTTTGAAATATTTTTATTATTTTAATTTTATGCGTATGAATGTATTGCCTGCATGTGTGTAAATGCACCCATGTCACGCAATACCTGCAGTGGTCAGAAGGTGTTGAATCCCCCGGTACTGGAGTTATGGACAGGTATTAGCTGCCATGTGGGTGCTGGGAACCGAATCTGGGTCCTCTGTAAGAGCAGCCAGTGCTCTTAACCACTGAGCCTTCTCTCTAGCCTGAGTCTGATGATCTTTTCAAAGGCACTAATCAGATTCTTAGTTCTTTTTAAAATGTTAGGGTTTTGACTAGGGTTCATAAATCACAGATCAATTAGAGAACATCTTTACAATGTTGAACTTTCCAGTTCATGAACACAATGTATCTTTTATTTGAGTCCTTAACTTTTTCTGCCAAGGTGAGTGACCACACTCTCTTTGGTCCCTGCTGTCATAAGAACTTTTTGAATTTTCCCACTTCCCTCCGCAGTGTCGTGAACTGACTTTGTACCCGGATGCCATGCCCAATTTTCTTACTCCGGTTTATGTGCAGTGTAGACGGCCTGACTCTTCCAGACTATTTTATATTTGCTTTACTTTTGTTTTAGGAAGTAGGGTCTCACACAGTCCAGCAGTCCTGTGTTCACCCCACAGACGTGACATTGTATGCTGCAGGCACTGCAGTGGGGATGCCCGATGCTCGAGGTGGGCCGACACATCCAGTCTTCACAGCTGCTCCGAGTAGGCAACGGTGTGCGCCCAGCATGCTCAGAAGTACCCAGTGTAACAGTCACAGCTGGAGGGGCCGACGCAACAGAACCATGTTCTCTCAGCTCTGCAATGTCAGTCAGGTGTGCAGAGCCACAGTCCCTGGAGCTCTTAGGGAAGACTCCTTCCAGTGTCCCCAGACCCATGGCCAACGTTCCCATGGCTTCCATGTGGGCATCTCTGTCCGCACATCCCGGCTTCAGGATGTGGCTAGTGATCTCTGGGCACATCTGCAAAGACCCTTTTTCCAAATAAGGTCATGTTCATGGGTCCAAAGGATTGGGACATGGCCAGATCTTTTTGAGGGCCACCATTCAGCCCACTACAGTGGTTTCCACAGCTTCACCTGCTTGTTCTTGAGGACTTAAGAGAGCCCAGCTCACAGAACCCAAGAGGGCATGTGTGTGGAACAGTTCCTGGAAAGCCACAAACCTCCGTCCCCATAGCAGCTCTACACAAAGGAACCAGTCCAGCGGCACAGGGTTCTGGTCCCATGGCCAGGTCCAGTCAGCCTTGTCTGGAAGGGCCTGGCCTGGGCCCCCAGGCTGCCTCCTCATGATCCCGAAACCCAGGGCTTCCTGTGACCATGTAACCACGTGTGCCCAGATCACTGTGGCTTGGCGGAGCCGTGTGGCTAGGGGAACCAGCTGTGTCCAGGAGCCTCTGCTCACCTGTGGGCAAGAAATCAGGGCGACAAGGCAGTGCCCCTGGCTTTCCTGCCATGCGGAGGCACCCCTTCAACTTCCTGAAGGACCTTCTGGAGAGAGACAAAACCAGGTGCACCTAATTCAGGTGTAGTCACAGCCAAGCCCAAGGCTTTCCCTGGGGAGTGGCTGACACACATCTCCCACAAAGTCTTAGACACTGCCATTCAAGATCATCTTTACAACTTCCCCCATCAACCTGGGGGAACCGAGTGAGGTTTGGGTGGGCCAGCTCCCAGCGCACCAACTTGCTGTTCTGTATGAGACAGCTGGAGAGCTGAAATTATATTCATATACATTGGTTTCTGGTCCAAGCTAAATACTTTTTTGGTATCAGTTTAATTCAGATTTGTGAGGCTTGAATCTCTGAGGCGCTGAGGTGGGGCAGTGCTGCCTCCTGAATCCCGCTCATTCTGGCCCTGCCCACTACAGCTCACTTAGAATAGAATCTCTCTGAGGCACAGAGGACAAACTGAAGGTACCGAAGTGCCCTTTCCATCTCAACACCCCCGTTTACAAGGCTCCTACTTAAGGGATACAGAGCCAAGCTCATTTCAGCCCCCCTCCCACTGCAACACTGTTTGCCACCTTTTCTCCTGATACAAATGATCATCCCTAAAAGCCTCTGGCCCTCTGTATCTGTTGGCTGTTACAATGTAATCACAACACATAAGATCTCGGAAATTATCACCAGGAGTAAGAGATGAAGTCTGCTTTGGGACATCTTGCTTGGTGCTCAGCGGAACAGAGAAATTCAGAATGGTTCTGTGTCTGCCCGGTGGGGTGGGCATAGCGATCATCCTGGCAGTTGAGTGCTGAGGCAGGAGGATCATGAGGTTGAGGCCATCCTGGATCACTTTAGACCTCTTCGGCCCAGAGGATGTGGCTCAGTGCTGGAGCACTTGCTTAGCCTGGAGAGACCCTCGGTTTCATCTAAGCACTGCACAAAAAAAAAAAATCAAAAACAAAAAGGTTTCCGGTTTCAAGACCTCTCCACCAGTTCACAGTGGTCAAAATAAAACGAGCATTTCTAATGAAAAGAATTTATTATCACAAGCCGCAAACACATGGACCGGCACTAAATAACTTAGAATGCATTTGTGACTGACATTTACAGTAGTAGGTTTCTTGTGTTATCAAGACAGGTTAAACCTCTGCCCTTGGCTGCTGGCCACCTCTTTCTTTTAGACATCTGGAATAGTCTAGACACAGACTAGACAGGGGTGCGACTCTGAGAGCTCTGCACCATATCCAAGGGAGCTCCCAAAGGCCACACCTTTAGGGTACTAGCAGTCCGTGACACAGACCTTCTAAATGTAGGTCCAGCAGGCCTGGGCCCACGACTGCTGCTGAAGTTTGGCTGTGGTCCAGAGACAGAGGGAGACCCCTGGCAAACCCTTAGTGGGCTCTGTCTACTTGGTGCTCACTGAGTCCTGAAAAGCCAGGGTGGAGTGTCCAGAGCGCTCTGTGCTGAGCTCAACAGAAGGGCCCAGGGGACAGGACAGGCCCCTCGTGTGGCAAGCTCACCAAACATGAAGGAAACCTGAGCAGTAGGGTAAACGAGAGGTCCATTTACAACTAGGTATTTATGATTCAGTACCAAAGTATGCGTGCACACATGCACAGGACACACATACACAGAACACACATGCACAGAGCACCCATGCAGATCCAGTGGGAACACATGCCCAGCCAGGCAGAGCCACTGGAGATGAGAGCTTGCAAGGCTTCTGGAACAAGCGTCCAGCCTGCAGTCGCTGGCTTCTTCATCTTGAAAAGAAAGGCAATGCTTCTCAGCTGGCCCCGCGTAAGACTGGACGGACCTGCCCACAGTGGTCGCCTGCTCCAGTGTGGACATTGTGCACATCGTGGACAGTGCAAGCCTGTTCTGCCACAGTGTGTACCCTCAAACACCCAGGAAGTCCATGGAAAGCTGCAGAGCTCTGCAGCTCATCACCACGGCCCAGCCACATCACACTGCTGAGGCCTAAGTGTCTGTGGAATGAATGAATGAATGAGTGAATGAGTGAGTGAATGAATGAATGAATGAATGGGAGAAGCAAGAAGGGAGGGTTCCAGATGTGTGATTCAGCAAAACTGGTAGCTGTTGTGCTGACTCCTGGTTGAAAATCTGGAAATGTCTAGGTAACATGAGGTAACTTCACAGCGGAGGTTATCAGCCATGTGGTGCGGCTGCTCACCCAGGGAAGCAGCTGGATGAGAAGGCCTTCGTGAGCAGGCGACATGGGTTCCACAGGCTGCTGACACTACTGTGTGGTGGGAGGCACCCTCCTCTCACAAGGCAGCTGTGACTCGGCACACGGACTTCATTCAACTTTCCAGATGGCAATCTTTCCCTCCTCCTGGCCTGCCCCGCTCAGCACGTAACGGTCCTCTGCTGAGCACAGAGTCCTCACGGTGTCTGTGTGGGCTACCAGCTCCTTTTCCACCACCTTCTTCTCCACATCCATCACGTAGATTTTTCCTCTGGGTTTTCCCTGTGACATCCCTCTGCCACCCACCCAGATCTGCAGGGGAGAAAAGGAAGGGGCATCAGTTGGGGGACACTCTAGAAGCCGAATGCTCAGTGATGAGTATACCCCCAAACTCATGTCCCTCGTGTGCAGAGCTTTGCTGGCCAAGAGGCAAGGGCACACATGGGCCTAGGACAGACCTTCAGGCCACAGAGATTTTTCTCTGACCTTTTCAGCAACAATGTGACTGTAGTTAATATTGTCTACTTAAAGTCTACTGTGGTGGGACTTAAGTGTAGCTGTGAGAGAACAAGTGCCGGGAACCTGACTGGTTGAGTATGTACATGTATCAAGTTAGTTCGCCGGGCGTGGTGGCGTACGCCTGTAGTCCCAGCACTTGGGAGGCAGAGGCAGGTGGATCTCTGTGAGTTCAAGGCCAGCCTGGTCTACATAGTGAGTTTCAGGAGAACTGGGGCTACAGGGAGAACCTGTTTCAAAAGACAAAAAAAAAAAAACCACATCAAGTTCTACACACCAGAGAAAATGTCAGTTATACCTCCAAAAAGCTGGGGCCGTCCTCTAGTAGAACTCCTCTGCCTGTTTCCAGCTGTGCTGGGACCTGCCACCTCTTTTTCCCTTTCAATTTCTCCCTTTGGAGATGGGACTATCTACCCTTGGCCCATTACACTACTGCATTCTAGACAGGCGGTGGGCCCCAGGATGGACCACACTCATAGCCTTACTGATATTTGAATAAGTGTTCCCCAACATCCCACCTGCCAAGGGCTTGGTCCCCAGCTTGGCTCTACTGGAGGTGGTGGGCCCTCAGGAGGTCTGAGGTCATGGAGGATGCCCTTGAGGAGGGCTGTAGGACCCTGGTCTCTTTCTGCTGCTCGCCTCCTGGCCAGGATATAAGCAGCCTCCCCAGTGCACGGTATGCTTCATCATGGGCCCCAGAGCCACGGTTCTGCCGACCATGGTCTAGAATCTCTACGACAGTCAAAAGAAACCTTTCCTCTTCCCAAACTCATCACCGCAGGTCCTTGTTACAGTGACAGAAGGCTGACCAACCCGAGCAGGTTCTCCTCAGATAAGGTCCAGGTGTTTTTAGAGTCAGTGATAGGGTGGGTTAGGACTTGCATGTGGGGCAGATGTGAACTAGGGGGGCCAAAGGGCAGACTATAGTGTGTTGAATAGTATCTTTCCAAAACCCATGTCCTTTCTGAACGTGAGATGGCTTGGAAATAGTCCTGTGTGTGATGTGGCTGGGCCCTCCTGAGACACAGAGATACCATGTGAGGACCAAGCCGCGGATGGAAGAGGCACATCCACAAGCCAGAAGCTGGGTGCAAGACAGGTCTCCATGACTGAGAAGCAGCCAGCTGGCCAGCACTGGGATCTGCCCTGACATCCCCCAGCCCTGAGGGGAGGTACAGTTCTGCCACTGCCACCCAGACAGGATTTTCTGTAGCAGCCGTGAGGACATGGTTTCCACCATGAAACCCAAAGCACATGACACCCTGGGACACAGCCAGTAGTCTCCTAGTCCACATTCCCACTAAGGAGAGAAGGAACCTGGGGTTGGGGAGGGAGGCAGGAGGGGCAAGGAAGGGCCAGGCAGGACCCACATGATGCTCGAGTGACATCACCTTCACCTCACCTGTCTCTTCACACAGATCATGCAGCTGACCTCGGTGCAGTCCTGCAAGTGGATCCTCTGAGGAGGCTGGCCAGGGTCCTTCAGGCTCCAGATATAAAGTTCATTGTGCCCTGAGCAGGCTACCCACAGCTGCTCCTGCTGGGATAGAAATCACCATGGGACAACGGTACTGTGACCACGATGGCCCCAAGCCTGGGCCAGAACACAGGCCATAAAGTACCTCGGGAAGAAGCTGGAAGGCCTGGAAGGGCCTGCGCGTCTCCCCGGAGTTCTTCAGCCTCAGCTCTTGAGGAAAAAAGCCCTGCACTGTCACCACCACAATGCTGCTGCCTGTACCTGCAGGAGGAAGAGCCAGGAAGAGGGTGGGCTGAACATGCTCCAGACCCAGGGAGGAAAGAGCCGGAAGGAGGGACAGGCAGGACGCACACAGGGTGCAAGGACAACAGCACCAGGGAAGGCCCAGGGTAACCGGTGAACATGTCAGGCCTGCTGATTCCTTTGACAGGTACTGACCGCCCAGCAGGCGCCTCTTCCTGTCACTGCCATACTTGTAGTTTGTGCCACAGTTCACGTGAGATGCTCTCTCATCTTCACTCCATGGTGACCAGGAGCCCCAGGAGCAAAGCCCAGCCCTCAGGGAGCACCCAGTGGATGCCAGTGGTGGGAGGTGGAAGGTACCAAGACAGTAGGGTGGCAGACCTAGAGATGCCATGGAACTTCACATGGCCCTCCCACAGCTTCACCTGACAGCTCCTTGGGCCTCAGCTGGCCTGGTGCCTGGGAAACCAACCTGAGTTTCTATTTCTCCTCCTTACATCCAAGTCCAAAGAGGTGGCATAAGCAAACGGAAGCCTCCTCCAGGAACTATGTCCTGATGTGTGGTGATTCGACAGATTTATTCATCTTAAAGCCCTTTCAAAAGCCACTGCTCCTGACCAGCGCCTGTCCCAAGGAGGCAGGAGCAACAGGCAGCCTGTGTAGAAGGGCCTCTGCCACCTGGGACGCACATGGGGTCTTCAGTGCAGCTACGAACTCTCAAGCCACTCCGGCAACAAGAGAACTGGGGAGCAAAATGAAGTTCTGGGGGAAAAAATAAAGCACTAAATGAAAGCTCAGTAATTAAAGTGACCACGTGGAGGTTTAGCCACAGAAAGGACACCCGCAAGTCTCAGGGTGCCATTGCCTGATCCGGACTGTCCCCTAGGCCATGTGCTGATGGCTTGCTCCTCAGCCTACCACACGGCTGGTAAGTGAAACCTGTTGGCAAACCATCAGGTCACTCGGTTGTGACCCTGAGTCCTAGGACCCCAGCCCCTTTTTCTCTGCTTCCTGGCTGCAGTCATATGAGCAGCTCTGCCCCAGAACAGTCAAAGCAGCACAGCCATGTCACCATGGAAACCTCTAACACAGCAAGATGACATGAACTACCCATTTACATCGAGTGTTTTACCACAGCAATGGGGAGCTAAACAGTACAGATGGACATGCAACCAAATCGCAGACGAGAGAAGCGACCCAACATCTGTGTGAGCAGGACCCCAGAAGCCGAGGGGAAGAGGAATGCTCAGAGAGGTTTACACTTTTCCCCAAATTCATGAGAATAAACCCAAGCAGGACAAACACAAAGGCCTTCACACCTGGGCACCCTGTAGCCTAATCCTAAAAACCAAGGACAAAGGTATGAAAGCAACCAGAAAAAAAAAACAGAAGGAAACAAACCAGACAGATGGACACCCTATACACAGCAACGGACCTGACGGACACCCTATACACAGCAACAGTCCTGATGGACACCCTATACACCATAGCAACGGACCTGACAGATACCCTATACACCACAGCAACGGACCTGACGGACACCCTATACACCATAGCAACGGACCTGACAGATACCCTATACACCACAGCAACGGACCTGACGGACACCCTATACACCATAGCAACGGACCTGACAGGCACCCTATACACCATAGCAACGGACCTGACAGACACCCTATACACCACAGCAACGGACCTGACGGACACCCTATACACAGCAACGGACCTGACGGACACCCTATACACCATAGCAACGGACCTGACAGACACCCTATACACCACAGCAACAGACCTGACGGACACCCTATACACAGCAACGGACCTGACGCCTCATGGGAACAGGCTGCATGCCAACAGAAGGGCCTTTCCAGCTGGGGGCGGGGCACAGGCCTGCACTGTGCTACAGGCAGACTGAGGCTGTACAGCTGAAGAAGTTCCAGCCTTGGGAGGCAGAAGGCAGGATGCTCACCAGGAGTCACACACAGACTGAAGAAATAAAGTGTCTTAATTTCTTTGGGAGACCCCCTTGACTGCTCAAACAAAATATTTTAAAGTTCATCCTGGGGTTGAAGATAACCACAATTATTCAAATAAGCTCCTGTGTTCACCAAAGCCCCACCAGGGCAGAGGAGGGTGCACAGAACTGGGCCGCTGTGACTTCTGGCACAGGAAGTAGTGGCAGAGCTGCCTAGGCGGACTCTGAGGCAAGGCCGCGGACAGCCTCGCTTGGGGCAGCCACTCCAAAGTGAAGCAGAAAGGGGAGCTGGAAAGGGCGGAGAGGACAGAGCTGACCTGAAATAGTCCACGGGCCCAGCTGAGGCAGGAGAGGGAACAGAAGAAAACCTTACAGGCCACTGTGGTGCCAACCACCTGTGATCCCAGCACTCGGGAGGTGAAGCAGGAAGATCAGAAGTTCAAGGGCAGCCCGAGCTTCCTACTGAGTTTGAGGCCAGCAAGAGCTACCTGAGACTCTGGAAAGAGAGACAGACAGGGAGAGAGAGAACGGAAATGGCACACCTAGAGCCAAACACACTGCTCACAGCATTCGAGGGTCCTTGTGTGGTCTGACACACTTGCAGAGAGGCCTCAGTGCAGGCAACTCCTGTGCCCTGAGATGTTCCAAAGCATAGAACACAAGCCACCAGCCTAGAGCCTGCCCCTCTCGTCACCTCTGGCAACATGCCTCACTTGCTTGGCTCTTAGGGGTGGGCTAGGAGTGGCTCGGGACAGCAGCACAGGCTCGCCCCCAGAGGCAGGTGTGGTACACACCCAGAAGAGGCCTGTGGAGGGTGACCGATGGCTACAGGGTTAGGATCACCTCAAAGCAGGTACAGAGGAGGAGCCGAGGAGTGGCCGTACACGGCAGGGTGACGGAGTAGAGAGGCCTAGAGCGTGGGTAAGCCAAACCACAAGGTAGCAGGCTTGTCAGGAGTCCAGAGGAAGAGCAGTTTAAAATCAATGTTGGAGATACAGCCAGGGTAAAGGGGCTTGACCCCGGGCACGGTCAGGACCTGAGGACTTACAGCACCACAGGCGGTCACTGTACAGGATGATGGATGTGAGGCTACTGGACTGCAGCTGGCACCGGTTGGTCACACGGAGCGTGCTCACATTCCACGCTAGGACCGTTCCATCTAGACTGCAGGAGTAGACTTCGCTGAGGGATCAAAGACATAGACATGTTTAACCGGCCACATCAAACCGCCGTCATTCACAACAAGGAAAAGTAAGGGGGACACACTATAAACAGCTTTCCCAGTCGGCCGGACTGCCACTCAATCCAGGGCAGGCCCAGTGGGGTGTCAGAGAGCAGGGTCTCACATCACAATTCGCTGTACCAAGTCTTGAGCAGGGAGGGCCGCCAACTCAGAGGGACAGGTAGGGCAGACACCAGTCCCAGGGATGCATATCCAGGGGCAGGTCAGAATGGGCAGTGGCCAGTGCCACCTGTAACCCCTCATGTTGGGCTCAGGTCAGCACTGTCTGTGCCACTTGACCTGGACCTAGGAAGACAGCACCCTATACCTCCCTATGGCCCATACTGGCCAGGATAATTTCAGTTTCCTGGGTCAAATCTCTCCTAAGACAACTTGATCCTGGAGTAGGGGGTTGGGGAACCCCAGAGGCAGGAACATACAGGCAAAAGAGGTTCAGGCAAGCCATGTGACAGAGAGACTCTTGTGTCTGGTGGGATCCAGAGCTGCCTGGCCTACGTACTGTGGCAGGGAGGGTGGGATCAAGTGCAAGCTAGATAGGTTTAAAAATGAAGGTAACTAGGGCTCCCGCCCCACCCCAGGACACTCCCAACTGGCCTGTGCCCCTGGGAGCTGAGCCTCCCCCCACCCGGGGGCCATGAGTCTCCGGGACCCTTCCCATCTGTGCCCCTGGGAGCTGAGCCGAGCCGAGCCTCCCCGGGCCCTGGTACCTAGGCTTCTTTCCATCTTGCACGACCAAGCCAGTGACTGCAGCACGGTGATCTGTGAGCTGCTTGTTACAGGACATGCTGTGGACGTTGATAATGTAGATGACAGAGTCCTCAGAGCCCACCCACACCTGGCTGTGCTCTGCCATCACCATGCAGTTCTAACAGGAAGCAAGACACTTGGATGAGACACGCAACCCAGGCTGGCAATCTGCATTGTTACCACCAACACCGAGTCAGTGAGTACTGAGCACTGCTTCTCCAGGACACACAACCCAAGTTGTGATCATCCCCTTGCTTAAGACACATGGCTCCTGTTTAATGACACTCAGTACACAAAGTATAGAAGACAGGCTGCAGAAAGAACAGCAGTCCACAATGCAAGCCTCAGCGGGAACACGTGGACTCTGGCTCTGATGTACCAGGATTACCACGAAGGCATCATGAGCATTTATTTGGGGGTCAGAGTCAAGTCTTAGCGGGTGGCTGAGTTTACAGTAATGGATTGTACAAACAGCCAACTAGGCCATCAGGGCCTCCACTGGTGGCATGTTCTTAGGAGTTCTGAGTTCCCAGCCAGCAGCCAAGGATGCTAGGAGACAGCCTGTGTTCCATCAATCAGGGTGACAGGCTCATTTTCACACTGCCCTGGGTCAAAGGGCCCTCATTCACTCACCACTTTAGAGGCACCCACTTTGAAGCAATGCTGGTGGGTGGTCCATGAAGAAGCATCAAACACGATCACTTTGCCTTCATTCAGGGCACACCACAACTTGGGGTGAGCATCTTCAACTTTCTCTGCAGGGTCAAGGCGCCCTGAAGAGGAAAGCAGCCCAAAAGTGTTTGAAGGAACCATCTGGCAGGTCAGCAGGAGACATCTACTACCGCTCAGCCATCTCCTGGACACCCACAGAGAACCAGTGCAGGGTGCTGCCCTCCCCATGGAGTCTGGGGTCTTACGGGCAGCTGGAGGGGACAATGGAAACCTGTGGGGCACACTGCTGAGCAAGGGCCCACAGGTGAGTGGGGGCTGATGGGCACTGAGTGTGACGAAGCAGGGCAGTTGCAGCAATCAGGACAGGAACCATGGCACTCCACCGATGAACACGCCCACCTGCTCCAAGTTGTCACTTACTAGTGTCAACTTAGTTATTTATAGAGTTCTTGAGACAGGATCTCAATAATGTATTCCAGGCAGGCCTTGAACTTGTGTCAGTCCTTCTGCCTCACCCTCCTGAGTGGTGAAATTTCAGGAATGAACCGTGTCCACCTTGGTATAATGTTAAACTTTTTGAGCACTCTAAGGGATATTTTTGTTTATTTACTAAGATGAGGTTTTACTAGGTTACCCAGGTGGCATTGTCCTGTCTCATCTCCCTGAGTATCTGGGACTGCAGGCCCTGTGCCACCACGTCTCAGCATGACTCTGGTTTTGAGTGTGGCTCTACTGTCACTGACCCAACTGCTCCTGAGGCCAGTGGTGTTGGCCAGCGTTGGGATGGCCTGTCTTGTGAGGTATGTCTCCTGGCAATGCTGGACTGCTCAGCTCTCCCTCCAGGAGCCGTGTTAAGAAGGAATGGATCAGCCAGCCCCTCATTAGGCCATTGTGCCAGGACTCTACTTCCCAGCTCCGGCCTATAGTGTCACGCTCTTGGAAGTAATGGTTTGAAACCCTTCATTTTTTTTCTCATTTATTTATTTATTGTATGTACACACCCACATGTGTTTACCATGGCACACATGTGGAGATCAGAAGTCTGTATCACCTTCTACTACGTGGGTTCTGGGATCACATTCAGGTGGTCAGGGTTGATGGCAAGTGCCCTTACCCACCGAGCAGTCTTGTGAGCCCTGAAACGCTTATTTTAGGGTAAGCAAACCCATGAGTCCTTTGGTGCCACTATGAACGTGGGGTTGACCTGATCATGCCTGTGCTGATGGGAGTGCTGGTCTGGAAGATGTTTGCTACACTTATGTGGTCACCTGTCTTTCACATCTAGACTAGTCCACTTGGAGCTGATGTGGCGACAGACTGAAGTAGGTAGGTTTCATCTTTAGTTATGAAGCTATGATGCCCATGGTTATGCAGTACTTGGCCTCATTCCATCCACCCCACAGGCTTCTGCCAAGGAGCCTCCTCACCAAGAGCTGACACACAAACATTTCAGAGGCAGGAAACAGTGTTCTGGGCACCGCCAAATCTAGTGCACTTTTGTGACACTTCAGTCTCTCAAGGGGGCTCCAAATGTGGGCACCTCAAGGCCAAGTGCACAGGGTGGCTATAACAACTTTGCCATCCTGTCTCAGGATCCCGCCCCACAGGCAGAAAGCACCCTCCCCCATTTCCAGCACAGGATTTCCTCCTCACCTGCTGTGAGGCTCACCTCCAACCCAAATCCAAGTTCCTCACACGGTTCCAAAACCAACAGCAGCAAGCAAGAGGTCACCTTACCCGGAGTATACAGCAAGACGTCAACAGCTTGTGGGGCGGTCTCTCCTGCCGAAGGGTTAATCCTGTGTTTCAGGGTCTCTGACGTCGTCTTCGGGACCACCATGGGCACTGCAACACAAAGCGTGTGTTTGAGTTTACCAGACAGGAGGAGAGCAAGACAGCAGTGTCATCCAGTGGCCGCACATGTGCAGAGTTCATGGGAAAACCACATGAGGCCTGGGGAGGATGCTCTTGGAAACCAGCGTTAAGGGCAAAGCATCACCATCTGAAGCACCTCTGGCCTCATCCTTGAGGGAGGAGGGACAAGAAGCAGGTGCATTTTCTACTGCAAATGGTATGATTAGTTCTTAAAACAGTGCACCATTGTGTATATAGCACATTTTCTTTTTTTTTTAACGTTTTATTGGTTCTGTGTGTGTGTGTGTGTGCGCGCATGCATGCATGTGTGTATATATGTGTGTGTGTGTGTGTGTGTGTGTGTGTACACGTGGCATGCACACACCACAGTGCACATGCAGATGTCCGAGGACAAGTAATGGGAGTCAGATCTCTCCTAGCATGTGGGTCCTGGTGTTCCGACTAGGTCGCCAGGCCTGGCACAAGCACCTTTGCCCAGTGAGCCATCTCCCCAGCCTGAGGTCCCCTTTCTTCACCCGTACATCTCTGACAGACACCTAGGCTGATTCCATGCCTTGGCTACTGTGGATGGTGCCATGATACATGGGCAACACCTGCATCTCCTTCTATACAATCCAACCCATGTTTCCAGACAATGCCCAAGACGGCCTCCCCTGGGGACTCCTGGGACCACCCTCTGGGCAGCTACCAGCCTCCTGCCCCCTCCCACTGATTACCACCAAAATGGAGGATGTGCTGTAGAGCTTGCTGTGGCCTTCCTTTTTAAAAGAGACGAAGAGAGGCTGGAGAGATGGCTCAGTGGTTAAGAGCACTGGCTGCTCTTGCAGAGGACCCAGGTTTAGTTCCAGCACCCACATGGCCACTCACAGCCATATGTAACTTCAGTTCCAGGGGCTCCAACGCCCTCTTCTGGCCTCTGCGGACATTGTACAACACAGGCACACGTACACACATGCAGGCAATACACTCATACACATAAAATAAAAATACATAATCTTGGGGCTGGAGAGATGGCTCAGAGGTTAAGAACACTGGCTGTTCTTGCA